TCTATAGTGTCTAGTTTGATGCCAAGTATATTGCCATGGCACCTTATTGCGATGGCCAGTGGTTCGATTGCTAAGATAAAAAGAAGGGGTGAAAGGGGGCATCCCTGACGAGTACCCCTTTGAATGTTAAAAGGTTTAGAGGCAATATTATTAGTGAGCACTTCAGCCATAGGATGCATATAGAGCAACTTAATCCATTGACAAAAATTATCACCAAGTCCAAATCTTTTAAGGACCTCAAATATATACGGCCACTCTACCCTGTCAAAAGCCTTATCAGCATCTAAGGACAGAATGGCCGTATCGCAAGCCCCCTTTTTAAGATGCAAAACATTAAGCAAAGTTCTGACGTTGTGAAAACCTTGCCTGCCCTTGATGAATCCATTTTGGTCTCTATGTATTATCTTAGGTAGAAGTGTCTCCAACCTCCTTGCTATAATTTTACTTAGTATTTTGACATCTGTATTAAGTAATGAAATTGGACGAAATGAGTCGCATTTTGTAATTAATTTATTAGGTTTAGGTATTAGCGTAATGAGAGCATGTCTTAAAGATTCTGGGAGTATACCATTTGTAAAGGATTCTTTAAGCATATTTAAAATGGGTCTGGTGAGTTGTTGTTTTTTAAATTTCTTGTAAAAATCCACATTAAGGCCATCTGGTCCTGGTGTTCGACCTGCTGTTAAACTGTCAATAGCTTCTATTATTTCTTCTTCTGTTATGTCCATGTCTAATGATCTTTTTGACTCTTCAGATATATCAGGTATAGATAAACTATTTAGAAATTCTATTTGTGTACTATTATCTGCATATTCAGAGGAATATAAAGTTTCAAAAAAGCATTTAAAAGTGTCATTTATTTTAATAGGGTCTACCGTGATATTACCACAATTATCTTCAATGGAATTTATTGCTTCTGTTTAATTCTCCAAGCTAACAATTTACTTGCCTTTCACCTTAATCGTAAAAATTTTGTCTTAACATCATTAGACTAGCTGCTGCTTTTTTAGCAGAAAGTTCATTATATTTCGTTCTAAGATTTTGTAGTTCCTGATTAATGTTTAGGTCATTTTTGCTTGATAGGTTTTTTTCTATAAGTTTTATTTTAGTATCTAGATCTGTCAATTCTTTCTTATACCTTTTTGATTTGCTACTTGTAACACTTATAATAACACCTCTAATGAAAGCTTTAAAGGCTTCCCATCTGACACTGGCTGAGGTTTGTGTAGTGTTTATATCATAATACATGTCTATCTGTTCTATAATATGTTTATTAAATTGGTCATCTAAGAGCCATTTGGGTTGAAATCTCCATTTTGGAGGGCTTCCCAGTAATTTAGGATCAATATAGGTAAGTGATACAGGGGCATGGTCTGAAATTACTAGAATCATATGATCAATCAACAATATATGGCATAAGTGTAGCTGAAATAAGAAAATAATCAATTCTAGAGTGAGACTTGTGTTTTAGAGAAGCAAGAATATTGAATATCTTTAGGGTGTAGCTGCCTCCATACTTCAACAAGGTTTAAATCCTTTATAAAATAGCCAAGGGTTTTTCTAGTCTGTCTGTGGGATTGATCAAGGCCTGATGTACGATCTCTAACTGGATCTAATGTACAATTGAAATCTCCTCCCATAACATAATATCCAGAAAGATTGGATATGGTTAAGAAGAGGTTACTATAAAATTTGGGGATGTCATTATTAGGGCCATAGACATTAATAAGATTCAATTGTTTAGATAATAATGACCCTTGAACAATTACATATCTACCTAAAGGGTCCTGTATTATTTTATCTATCTGAAATGGAATTGATTTGTGGATCATTGTGATTACCCCTCTTGCTTGAGAACTAAACGATGCTGCATATATCTGACCTGGCCATCTATTACTTATTCTACCTATGTCTTTGGGCATTAAGTGTGTTTCCTGAAGAAAAACAATTTTACATTTTAGTTGTTTTATTCTAGACATAACTTGTTTGATTTTAGAGAAAGTATGTAACCCTCTACAATTCCAAGAAACAATTTTAACCTCAATAATACCAGTCATATCCTTCTATATTGTAAAATGATCCAAGCTTCTTCCATATTTTAAAACGTAAAAAACCCTGTACGTATAAAGATGAGTCATAAAACAAACTAAAAACAACAACAACATAAACATATTCCGATTTTAAATAGAAAATAAAAATATACTTATACATCACAGCTGTGAATTGCCGAGAACCGCCAGCAAATCCAGGCTCTTCTTTGCTTCTAACTTCCTTAACTAAATCAACCCAATTTAACTTTGGGTAAAGCAACCGTAAAGTACGATAGATCGCATCGCATTTTACCCCAGCTTATTAATTTAAATCGTCCCATTCTGAGGAGTTCGACATAATGTCTTGAATATTGCACACATTCATAAAGTGAAAACAAAGTTGAGAAAACAGCACCTGCTTAGATGTTCATTAGAAAGTCGTTAACTTCCGATGAATTTTGAAAGACATGAGCATGGCCATCAGTGGTTACTCGGAGGCGCGCTGGAAAGATGAATCCATAAATCAGTCCCTTAGCTCGCAGCTTCTTCTTTACTTCGTCGAACTGCCTCTGTTGTTTGTTTACTTCAGCAGAAAGGTCCAGAGAGAACATGATTCTGTGATTCTGGAATAGTACCTCTTTCTTTGCTCTGGCCGCACGCATCACGCGTTCCTTGTCTCTGTAATCCAGAAACTTTGCGATCATCACTCTCGGAGTTGCTTTTGTATCAGCTGCAGTTTGGCGCGCATAACCGATCTTGTGGGCTCTTTCTATGGCCAGTGGTTTTCAAAGTGGTCCCATGTCCAGCGCTTCAGGTAACCAGCTTTCTAAGAATGTACATACATCATTGCCCTCGGATTTTTCTGGTAAACCAAGAATCTTTAAATTTGAGCATCGACTACGATTTTCCAAATCGTCAATTTTTCAAGTTAGTGAGGTAATTTTCTTTTCAAGAGCGGTAGTAGCTGATTGAAGAGTGGAGACGGAATCTTCAGTTTGAGATATGCGTTCCTCTGCCTGCGTTAGTCTTCCGAAACATTCTGCTACATGGGTTTTGATATCGTGTACGGCTGAGAGGACAGTTTCGAACTGAGAGGCCATGTCAACTTTCATCGAGTTTATTGCTTGTATAATGCCACTTATTTCAGCGTGTAAATCGCCAGGTTGACCTCCGCAAAGCGGCGACGAATTTTCTCCGCCATTACTTCGCACTTCTTCCATGCTTTCGGAGTCAGATGTAATCTCTGTAGTTTCGTTTTTTCGCCGTTTGCTTTGCTGGTTTAGGTGACATCTTAAGCAGTGTTCAGTCTTAAATAATTTGAGTTTGAATGTTAAGTAAAACCGGGATAAATTTAGGATTTTTAAAGATATGTTACCGCTGGGCTAACTCGTGCGTCTCTTCAGCAAGGCGCCATAGCCGGAAGTCCGAGTTTGCTTCTTTTAATCGGATTTATTAACCCATTAATATTCAAAGGAATTACTTTTTATTTTTGTTTTTGCATATACTGAAATCAGATATTATTGCGAAGATCACGGTGACTGGAACAGAAAAACACAAACATAAAATCCTGAACCAAATAAAAAAGCATAACGAAAAAGGTCTCCTAACCTTAAAGTCTTAAATAAATTCTTAATGTGAGGGGAAAGCCTTCCTTCTCCAAAGGGCCCCTCTCCTTGCTGTGCCTATTGCACAAAACATGTTAACAAGTATAATCAGCGCCCATATCTGGCAATATATTTTCTTTTATTTCCAGCAAGGTTTTCAAGTTATATATTTCTACTAATTATAGCAAGGGATTTTAAGTGTATAAAATTGAATTCCTTTATGTCTTCCTACCAGTATGGTACTCAATGATTCGAGTCTTGGTGTGTCGTTGGTCAGTTCGGTTAAATATCATTCTTTCCTTTAAATGATTTAAATGTCCATCTGTAAATCAAGTCAAGAAGTTTTACCAGCCTCTCGGAGTTCTTTGTTAGGATCTGTCAGGTTTTACTCTTCTTTCAAACAGAGCTAGTGTTGTCCCTTTAAAAGTCACAGTTTTCTCTTCTTCGATGTCACTCCAAACTTTGCCAAAATCTTTGTTTCTCTTTCCCAGAAATTCCTATAATAGTTTCTTCTTCGTTGTTTATTAGCCCTTTTTCTTTCAGATCTCTTGATGCCTCTGTCATCGAATTGTACATGACCTGCCCGTTTTCCAGAAAAGATTCTAAGTTTCGCCGGCGGTGATAATTGGAACTTAATCCCTTTTCTTTAAGAATTTTTCTTATTGGAGCAAAACCCCGTCTTTTCTTTTGGAATTCAGGTGGGTAATATTGGTCAAAGAAAATCCTTTATTCGTTCCAGTGTATTACTTTCTTTATCCATGCAAAGTGGAAGACCAGGTCCTTCGTTTTGTTTTCCAGTAAGAATATCAACGCTGATCTAGGGTGTGCGTCAGCAGGTTGTTTTGGTCCGAGTACCCAGTGACACCATTGGATTTTAAGGTCCAATTCATTAAGTGACAGTTTGTTTTGCAATGCAATGCTAGCTGACAGGCTATCAGCTATCCTGTCCGTCTCTGATTTTTCATCTGTTGATTTCTCGTTTTTTTCAGGTTTCAATAGTTGTTTTGTCCTAGCCTTTTTGTTTTTGTCCCCCTTCATGTTATTTAAATATGGTTTAGGTTATTACATATGATGTAAAACGGAGGATTAATACCAGTGTGTATGGGAGCGCTCTTTCTATGCTGCTACACTTGTCTACATCATACCGAAAACCATCCCATGTGTTTCTTAAGCTACCCCGAATGAGTAAAACTGCACACACTGATCATGTCTACGGTTTCTCTCCAGTGTGAATCCTCTCATGTGTTTTCAGGGTTCCTGAGTGATAAACCTCTTACTGCAGAGTGAACACTTGTACGTTTTTTATCCAGTGTAAATCCTCTGGTGCGGTTTCAATTCTGCAGCAGTAATAAAAGTCTTCTCGCACTCCAAGCACATTTACTCTCTCACACCAGTGTGGATCTTCATGTGTTTTTTAAGGTGTGATGAGTGGGTGAAACTCTTCCCGCACCGAGTGCATGTAAATGATCTCTTTCCAGTGTGGATCCTCATGTGTTTATTAAGGTATGATAACTGGTTAAAACTCTTCCCACACTGAGTGCATGTAAATGGTTTTTCTCCGGTGTGGATCTTCAAGTGTCTATAAAGTGATGATGATAGGCTGAAACTCTTCCCACACTGAGGGCATGTGAATGGTTTTTTTCCAGTGTGGATCTTCATGTGTCTATAAAGCGATGATGATTTGCTGAAACTCTTCCCACACTGAATGCAAGTGAATGGTTTCTCTCCAGTGTGGATCCTCATGTGTTGATTAAGCGATGATGATTGGCTAAAGCTCTTCCCACACTGAGTGCATGTGAATGGTTTCTCTCCAGTGTGGATCATCATGTGTTGATTAAGGTGTGATGAGTGGCTAAAACTCTTCCCACACTGAGTGCATGTGAATGGTTTCTCTCCAGTGTGGATCCTCATGTGTAGATTAAGATTTGATGATTGGCTGAAACTCTTCCCACACTGAGTGCATGAGAATGGTTTCTCTCCAGTGTGAATCCTCATGTGTTGATTAAAGGATGATAATTGGCTGAAACTCTTCCCACATGGAGTGCACATGAATGGTCTTTCTCCAGTGTGGATAATCATGTGTTGATTAAGGTTTGCTGAGTGGCTGAAACTCTTCCCACACTGGGTGCATGTGAATGGTTTTTCTCCAGTGTGGATCCTCAAGTGAATCTTAAGTTTGCTTTTGCTTGCCAAACTCTTTCCACACTGAGTGCAGGTAAAACAACCCTTGTCTCTCACTTTTAAAATACCATCAGTCTCTAAATAAGTTTTGTCCTCAATTTTGACACGATGTTTCTCCTCTTTACTCTCCTCATAGTCTTCAATTAGGTCTGAAAAAAAATTAAGTTTTTAGTAAATCATTAAAACTCATCGAAAGCTGAAGTGAAAAGGCTCTAAAACATTGTCTACACAAACCCTAATTTTAATGCACATTAAATGTAAAGACATAGCAGATCATATTTAGATTGATCTTGTCATATAAACCTCCTGGGGCCCATTACACACATTCCCATTTAAGTGTATTCTTATATGATAATTTTTGGTCATATTGATGAGACATAAATTTGAAAGCTGTAAATGTCCAGTTTTTCTATTTGTTTATATTCGTAATCACTTAAAACAACATGTTTTTGTAAAACAGATAGGGAATGTTTTTAATTCTGTGCCTGAATGGTAAACCTGTCAGAAAAAAAAACAGCTGAATCTCTGAGTATTTGCCTCACAGACATGAGACATATCTGCATAAAGCCTTAAATCTAAACCTTTAAATGACAAATGTTCTAAGGGTTAGTAATCTGCAGTGCAGAATTTGAACACTTAACAGTCTCAGATCATCAAACAAATGTAAATATTAATCAAAGAGAACACAATTAAACACATTGTGCCGTTTTTAAGGTTTTTATTCTTAAAAGGAAGACAAAGTACTGAACTACATAGCCTTGTGTGAAAATGCTTTTCCCCTTTAAAACATAACTTTACTTTTTCACACCGGCTTCAAGTTCTCTAGCCACACCCAGACCCGATTACTACCACATGTTTGCAATCAATAAATCACCTAAATATGACCTATCTGACAAAGTGAAGTAGACCAAAAGAGCCTCAAAAGCTAGACATCATGCCAAAACCTAAAGACCTTTAAATACAAATGAGAAAGAAAATACTTGTGTCACGAGTTAAAAAAAAGTGAACTCAAATGCAGAAAAACAATGTGTTTGGGGAGTGAGTCCTGGAATAAGCAAAAGTCAAAGTAAACATCTGATCAGGTGAGCACTGAAAAAGTGCCGTGGGAAAAAACAACCAGACACTCACTCACTTGCATTCCTGCACACGAATACAGGGTGAGTAACAAAATAATATGCACACAAATGATTGATAACATACTGACAAACATGAAGGGAAATGATGTTGTATAAACAGAAAAAAAGGGAATCGAGAGCTCCTGTGACTGCAAATAAAAGCAGATAACGAAATAACCTGTAACCCAGAACAGAAGAGAGCAAATCTGTGAGGTATGGTGACAGTACCCCCTCCCTCAAGAATGCCCCCTAGCATTCCCTTAAGACTCACTGTGGATCTATTTAAACTGATCAATGAGAGAGCGGTCCAGAATATTCAGAGCCGGAATCTAACATCTCCCCTCTGGACCATAACCCTCTTCCAGTATACCCGATACTGATAATCTTTCTACCTCTCCTCCTCACAACAAGGAGCCAGTGCACTGTGGATGTGAATGCACCCTCAACCAGTCTGGGACGCAGAGGTTATGGGCTGCAGGGGGAGAGAAGAATGGGCTTGATCTTGGACATATGGAAAAAACAGATGAATGTCTTTAAACTTAGAGCTTAATTTGAACAAACACTAGACTGAGCACCTTGATAATAGAAAAAGGTCCAATAAACTTGGGTCTCAATTTATGTGAGGGAAAGCTGAGAGGAATGCCTTTGGAAGACAACCAGACTTTCTGACCACACATATATAGAGGGAGCAAACGCTTCATTCCTATTGCCAGTCCTTTTCTGGTGATCCTTCATGTCTAGAGGCATCTCTGAATGAAAAAATGCATAAGGAAACAATGGCATCTGGTTTTTGGGAAGAGAATACGCTTATTTCACACGGCCACCATTTTAAACAAAAAACCATTTTAACGAAAGCTAGGCTGTGGTGGGAAAACACATGGAAGTATAGGATCAGCACTGTAAACATTGCAACAACTAGCTGTGGACTACAAACCTCCAGCTGTTGCCGTGATTTCAAAGTGCAGATGGTGCCTGGCCATTGGTCTGTGGATGGTGCTCGTTAGAGGCTAGTAGTCGCCCCCAGCTGTCGGCAGAATTCTGCCCAAAACCTGGACACAAATTGCAGACCCCTGTCTAAAACCATGTCAACTAGGAGGCCAAGAATACGGAACATGTGGTCCAAGACAATGGCTGCTGTTTCCCTCGATGAAGATTATTTGAGGAGTGAAATAAAGTGAGCTGCTTCAAAAATCTGCCCAATACAGTGAGGACTACTGTGTTGCCACTGAATGGTGGTAACCCAGTGACAAGCCAACAAAAACTGACCAGTGTTCCACACCATTGAGAGCCACCAGAACCATTAGCCCCATTTCCACTATCGCACCAAAAGCGAGGGAGCCCAGGCCAGTCGCGTTTCCACTGTCACTTCCAGGGCCTGATCAGGCCAAAGCTGGGCTTCTTTGGAGCGAAATATAGGCTATAGCCTATTTTATTACTTGCCCTTATGTCCTGAAACACTTAACACTCTCCTTTCCTTTCGTTTTTAAATAAATTGCTCTTAGTCATTATATTTTCTAAACTTGAGGCCCTGGTATACTGAAAACTAACTGTCCTGGAGCTCCACCTTCCTTGATGTGTGGTGTCTTCCCAGTGATTTGTTTCTCATTCGGGGAGTAAGAAGGAGAACATCATCCAAAACAACACTAGCTACATGAATACACTGGAGAGTGGAGTACAGATGTATCCGCACCTGTACAATCACTTGCAAACAAAGATTTTAAGCCGCTGAGATACTGTTTGCCAGATGTTTATTAAACTATTCTTCTCTCAGCCGCCAGCAATGTTTACGGTAAACGCGATGAGCGCAACACATTTACAACCCCACCTACTGCAGTGTAGGAAAACAGTATACCATCACTCAGCCTTTTCAAACATTATTTAGACATGAAACATCCTGTGCTTGTTTTGCTGCATTCAGGTCATGTGTGCAACTTTTTGTCCAATTGTAAAGACACTGATCAGATTTGTACGGTTTCTCTCCAGTGTGAATCCTCTTTTGTGTTTTCAGATCTGTTAACTGATTAAACCTCTTGTCACAGTGTGAACACTTGTAGGGTCTCTCCAGTGTGAATCGTCTGGTGCAGTTTAAATTTGAGCTGTAATAAAAGTTTTCTCACATTCAAGCACATATACTCTTTCACACTAGTGTGGATCTTCATGTCTACATTAAGGTTTGCTCATCAGTTGAAACTTTTCCCAACACACTGAGTGTATGCGAATGGTCTTCAGTGTGGGTCTTCATGCGTTTATTAAGGTCTGATGAGTTGCTAAAACTCATCCCACACCAAAGCTGCAATTACACTAGAGTTTGAGCATGAGAAATTCTTTTGTACGATGCTGCGAAAAGGGGCGGGATTAAACAAAATGATTAGACATAAATGGTTTCTCTTCAGTGTGGCTCATCATGTGTCGCTTAAGGGATGATGATTGGCTGTAATTCCTCCCACACTGAGTGCATGTGAATGGTTTCTCTTCAGTGTGGATCCTCATGTGTAGATTTAGGTCTGATGAGCAGTTAAAACTCTTCATACACTGAGTGCATCTGAATGGTTTCTCTCTAGTGTGGTTCCTCATGTGTTGATTAAGGTTTGATGAGCAGTTAAAACTCTTCCCACACTGAGTGCATGTGAATGGTTTCTCCCCAGTGTGGATCCTCATGTGTTGATAAAGGTTTGATGAGCTGCTGAAACTCTTCCCACACTGAGCGCATGTGAATGGTTTCTCTCTAGTGTGGATCCTCATGTGTTGATTAAGGTGTGATGAGCAAATAAAACTCCTCCAACACAGAGTGCATGTAAATGGTTTCTCTCCAGTGTGGATCCTCATGTGTAGATTAAGGTACGATGATTGGTTGAAACTCTTCCCACACTGAGTGCAAGTGAATGGTTTTTCTCCAGTGTGGATTTTCATGTGTAGATTAAGGTGTGATGATTGGTTGAATCTCTTTCCACACTGAGTGCATGTGAATGGTTTCTCTCCAGTGTGGATCCTCATGTGAGTCTTAAGAATGTCTTTTCTTTTAAAACTCTTTCCACACTGAGTGCAGGTGAATTGATTCTTGTCTCTTCTTTTCAAAATATCATCAGTCTTTAAATGAGATTTTTCCTCAATTTTGACATGATGTTCCTCCTCTTTACTCCCCTCATTCTCTTCAATTAGGTCTGAAATAAATAAATAAAACATTAGTTTCCATTAAGTCTTAAAAACTATCAAAACTGAAAAGTGAAAAGACACTGGAAGCCTTGGCTACACACTGTAATTTTAATGCACATTAAATGTAAATAAATCAGATCATATTTTGTTTGGTCCATTAACATGTACACATTTAAGCAGATTCAATTCATCTTTATTTATCTAGTGCTTTTACAATGTAAACTGTCAAAGCAGATTAACATAAAAGTTATAGTAAATGGGCTCTATGCACAAACTCTGCTGACGTGTTTCCGGTAGAATATCAGTCAGGCTCTTCCGCATAGCGAAATCTGATAGTGGCGATTTCGTTCTACAGTGAAATCTAATAGCGGTGAAACCTAAACAAATCAGAGCATGGCAAAGAAGGAAGATTGAAGGATCTAGTGCCAGTGGATGCTCAGCATCTGAAACATCATTATTGTTGATTAATACACCAGATCAGACTAATAATCACAGTGAAGAGGTAGAGTAACTGAAAGGAGACTGCTTCAATGCTACTTTTAGTGATGTTAAAAGATTCTAAAGGTACAGTAAAAATGATGTACTAGAATTTAACCCAGATGAAAGTAGTAACAAGTTGTAATTGTATTTTATATAAAATATTAAATTTTTAACCATATTATAGTAAATTATATTATACTGTATATACTGTATACATGCATATACACACCCACATCAAACATTCTAGTATCATATAAGAGGTCAATAACAAACTAAAACAAATATGTTAAGCACAAGTCTTTATACTCAAAGCCAAATGCATTTCTATCTGATTTATTCATTTACATCCTACAACATCTAGAGTAATGCGTTCAGAGTAAGAGCAACTGTGAGGGAGAAGCCATCCTTCACAAGACTATAGGTTCACACTGAGCATCTCATCCACAGGGTGAAGCAACAAGCGGGACAGTCATCGTCTCTTTCTATTACAGCGAGCATCAACCAGATTTACACAATGGCTTACCTTCTGCCCATCAGTAAAAGTTTAAGCTAAAGATTACAAACATAAATAACAGAACAATTTGAGTGAACATTTGCTCTGCACTAATGTAAATATATAAATCACTGTAGATACTTGCACTAATGTAATTATGCAGAGTTTATTGTGCAGAATTATGTGATGTACCACCTCCGCCTTCAAGCAAAAATCAGGCAGGCAACTTCTGTCAGACCCCCAGTGATGCTCAATAATGCAAAATGCATTTGTTTCAAGTAGCAAAAATGTAACAAATGGGATACCCTCTTAAACAAATTTTCAACAAGGAAAACCCCAAACTATCTAAATATAAGTAATTAGACATTTGCACTGCAGCATAAATATAAATAATTTTTTTGACACGTGTAAATTTGACAATTTTAAACAAAAAAAGTTGTGTGAGTGTGTTTGTTCAAATCTGCAGTCATCTTGACAGGTAAAAGTAAAAAAAAAAAAAAAAAAGAAAAAAAAAAGAAAAGTTTGGCTTCCCCTGAAACAATTTGATGTTATTGTAGATGAGCTGGATCATCATGTCATCCCGAGTATACATAACCTTTCACTCAAACTATGCAGCTTATCTGACTTCACTATCAACCTGAAATTCTGATCTCCCGTCACTCCACCCTTATAGGACAGTGAGAAATAACCCATAGTTAGTAACGTTTATACTAATGGATATTGACGACACAATGTACACATACATGTAAATAGATAGACAGGCAGATGGATAGAAATGATACAGGTAATTAAAACAACATAAAAATCAATATGAACTATGAGGAAAAAAAGATATGGCTAGCATTTAATTGCTTTTCTTATATATAGCATAATAATACTCACCCTCAAAATGATCGATGCAACTCGAAATGTAGAATTTGAACCCCTTTTCTTCTTTGCTGTTTGGTGTGACAGCACTCTGTCTCACGATTCCATTATTGTCCTTCATGGTAATGCAAGGAAACTTTTATAAACAACGAGTGTAATCTATCATCATCACTTGCTCCATCCGCTTACAGTGATCGTGGTGCTGTACCAGAAGTTGACATGAGGGCTAATCGCAAACGCGGAAGAGATCTTGCATAGAGTCCATTAAAACTGTGTCAGTCGGGGGGCGCTGCCGAGCATGATGGAGTAAACACGTGTTTTCAGCGCTCCTATATAATCTTAAAAAATTGTTATATTAACAGCTGTTTAATGTCCGGGAATGAACAGTATTTGTTCTTGCAAACGAACAGAAGACCTCGTTGATTAAATACAGTCAAGGATGGCAGCGAATCTCCATAAATACAAGTATTCTGGCCCTACCACCGTAAGGCCCGAAGCCTCGGGGCAGAGTAGTTCCAGTGAGCCTGGATCTCCTTCTGGACGGCCTGACGATACAAATACTGTCTTCGAGAAGATAAAGGCGGACATTCTCTGCTCCTTAAGAGTGGACAAATGATTTGTAATAACGAAAAAAATTGAAGAACGCATTGACAGAGGATTTTGATGCACTTAAATCTGAACTACAGTCTATGAGACCCGAAATCTTGATTAATGCCAAAGCTGTGCGTTGACAACATTAAGGATGTCGAGGGAGGACTCTCAACTTGGTCAGACGAGATGGTCACTCTCCAGGCAACTATAACTAAACTCACAAGACACATCGACGACTTAAAAGAAAAATGTGAAGATATGGAAGGGCGCATGAGAAGGCGGAAACATACTGTAATCTCCGAGCTCCCGGGATCAAAACTACAGCAGTATTCAAACTGCTAAAAAAAGTGCTTCAAATGGACAGAGATGTCAAAATTGACCACTCACATCATAGCCTTGTTCCAAAAAGGCCAGGGGACAAGCCTCGTACCATAACCGCAAAGTTACATTACGATGGAGATGCCGTGGAGATCTTACAAAAAGCCAGAGAATGCGCACTTCTCATTTACAACGTTAATCAAATCACCATCTTTCAGGATTACGCCGCCAATGTTGCAGGGGCAAGAGCAGTCTTCACTGATGTCAGGAGAGCTCTTCGGGGGCAACAGGACGTGCAATATGGACAGCTTTTTCCAGCAAGGTTCCGAATTTCACACAATGGAAAAGAAAAGTGGTTTCAGATTGCGTCCGAGGCAATGGATTATGTGAAAAAGAAAATCATATCTGACAATCAATCTAATAGTTGACACTTATTCTACCTGAAGATTACAACACTTAACGATGAGTATCCTGCATTCAAACTTATTAGGTGATAATCCACTCTCGACTCATTACGTTGGATTTGACTGATCATTACAATTGATTTCCCTGAGGTATTTGTTTTCTTCCATGGAATGAACGGATTAGCTAACTTTATACAGCAGTTTTTATGCTTGGAAAAACACGTCTCTGTTTATGAAGCTGTTAATTTTGAGTTTCAAAAATTATGGTTCTGTAGGAGTCTGAAACACAGCGTACGCCGAATAACACGCATATTCTCGTACATTCGAATGAACGTGAAACTGAGCGCAACATGGAAGAGCGCAAAACCCCTCCTTGCCTCCTCCCCCGAATGAATATGCTAATGACTCTACTTTGGCAAAACCCAACAAAAAAGCAACGGCAAAAGCAAGCCAAATGAGAAACTTTGGATAGAATGTTAATTGGAGGTGCTGCTTTCGGTGGTAGACCGGAGAAAAACTTGTTATTTGTAAGTTTGTTCTCCGGAATTAATAACAAAAGAAAAAAAAATAGAGTGGGACAGTTGAGCTGATGCTTTTAACACAGTTAAGTTTGAACATAGCACTGAGTGGGTTAAAAAAGAGATAGTGTGATTTATAGGTTTAAAATTTTGCAGCGTCTTTAACAGTGTGAGTGGCGTAGCTTGTAAAACGCATGGTAAAATGTTTTGACACATTCGAGCAAGAACTCAGTTCGAATCCAGCCTCTGATGAACTCATCCCCCCCCCCCCCCCCCCAATGTTCCAATGTCTTTTTATTTCATCCTATTGTTTCTTTTATTACTTAATTTTATTTACTTAAATATTTATTGTTTCTTTAACTTTGTAAATATCCATAAAGATCTTGAGCGTAGATTTATATTGCTAAATGGCTCAATGGATAGCATTGAACTATCACTCATGAATATATATGCTCCAAAGGAGGGTAGACCGGCTTTTATTAAAAAAAAGTGTTCAACACAATTATACAGCATAGCTCAAGAATATTAGTAATTAGAGGAGACTTCAATTGTACTATGTCACAACACTTAGATAGACAACCCATATCCAATACCCCATGCTCGCGAATGAGTAAAATAATAAAATCTCAATCTTCAGAACTTACGTATGACGTATGGCGAAGCAATTTTCCAAATCACAAAGACTTCACATTCTATTAACATAGCCATCAGTCTTACTCCAGAATAGATTATTTTTTTACTTCCAGAGATGAGCTGCACAGAATAACTAGTATGAAGATATTACAGATGGCCACGTCGGACCATTCACCAATAGAAATATTATGGGACACCTCAGACGTATCTCCACTAATCGTATGGGACTGCGCAAAAGCATATATTAGAGGTAGGATGCACGTGAAGTTGCTGAAGTAAAGGATCAAACTTTGATGCATCACTTGCTTTTGTTCATATCTCGGACAGTTCTACCTATTATAATTTATTAAAATATTATTGACAGCAGAACATGGGTTGCTCTATACATATTTTTATTATGGCAAGAATAAAAGCAAAAAAAAG